AGTTTCCATTACCTAAAGTTTCCACAACTTCCCTAAATAACACCATCAACAGAAGATCAAGCATTTAAGTATACGAGGCTATAGGGGGCAATCCTCATTCAAACCACCACACAGCTTTACCATATGATTTTTGAATTTGGTTGGATCTCAATATTTTTAAGGCATCTTGGTTTTCCAACACTTAGGTTCAAGTCATTTTTTATCTACCTACAATTATCACAGAATATATGCAGAAAAGTATAACATGAAGGTTTATGGGTTGAGAATAAAGCACTGCAGCAATAAGTAGGAAATGAGGGGTAGGTGATTTCCACAACTGTATAAGCCTGAGAAGAAGCCAAAGCTTAAGTTTTTTGGACCATTTCTGGTCCTCTTGATACAGCTGTCCTATATATTCATAAACCAAGGCTTCTAGCGCAGGCTGTCACTGTCATCAAATAGCATAGATGCTGAACACTAAATAATGCTGGGACATAAAAATCAAAGCCAGTATTCTCCCGGAATATGTCAGTAGCATGTTGGCATGCATATTCAATAGAAGATTCAAGGGAATTAAACCTAGTCAAGCAGGTAACATGGAAGGGAGATGCAATCATATACCAAAGGGGAAAAGGAGACTAACACTACAAGAAGAAAGAAAATGCACCAGGGGAAAATTATGGGCATCAGCAAGGCCAGAGAAGTAGGCCAGGAAGAAGGTGGGAGGTGTTTCATGAGAGAGTGCAAGTCAGAACAGACTGAAGATGGATTGAGAAGAGCATAAGAAGGGCTTTCAAGAGATCCTGACCAAGACAGTGCCCAAACCAATCAGTCCCCTGGTTTCAGCAGTGTCCTTAAACCACACACAAGGACTACACTGGGCTGAGAGGAGAAAGGGGTACACTTCTCTTGTGGACCCTAGAGGAACTGTAATGCAAGGTCAATCAAGAGCTGAAAAGATAAGTCTGAGAAGAAAAAAAAAAAATACGCATTCAACTGATCCTTTCCCCTGACATGATCCCTTCTCCTCTCAACCAAGGAACAAGCTAAGGAAGAGCAGGAACCACCACCCAACTCACTTCTGGAAATCTAAGTCCTTATCCTCCCAATGTGATGCATCTAAATCTGTAATCTGTATGTTGTATGAGAACATGGACTAATGTACCAGCTGATGCAGCCCAGGTCAGCCTATAGCAGCCCCCGAGGAGACATCTGTCAATGTTTTTCTTTGTTACCGTTGGGTAGGGATGCAGCAGGGATTGCAGAACCTTTGAAGCATCTTACATGCAGAAGACAGCTTCCCTCAAACAGCACAAACAGGAATTATGTGACCCACAAGGAAAACGATGCCATTTGCAAAACCCTAGTGAAGGCCCCAAAGCCCAAAGCTGTTCCAGGAATTTTTTGCACAGCTATCTTAAGTTTATTCTGCCTGAGGACTTCCTTTCATGGCAACTTTGAAATCTTTTTTTTTTCTGCTTGCTCTCCTATTAGGATTCTGTAGTCATGTTTTTCTTTTCTATAGACTAATGTAATCTAGTATTTAACCTTCCTTTTGACAATTTTTTATTTATCTCAAGGTCTGAGAGACATACACCTTTTTCAAACTGTAAGATTTCTTCCTGTATACACTGCTACAGTATGTAGATTCTCTAGGATGCATGTCTTATGACCCTGTATGATGTCACCTGCCACATGCGGGTCTGGTTTTGTCAAATCCTGAGCACTAAAATGGACATAGGCTGTTGGGCAACTTCCAGACCCTTCACTAAAGAAATTATTAAATGTCAAAAGCAAAAAAGCCTCAATCTTACTGAAAGCCCTCATGTTGATAACATTTCCTAAATTATAACTTGGGTAAAAACCAACATCAGAGTGAAAATAAGAGCTTGCTTTCCACACATACCCTCGGTTGGGGAGGTCACCTACTACAATGTCTTCTGGGCTACTTGCCACAGGCATTGGTCATCATCACACAGAGTTATGTTTGAGTGGTTCACAGTCCCGAACCATGGTCTTCTGTGCTGAAAATATATAACCTTTGAATGTCACAAATGGATGGTATTCAAAAAGCAATGAGTTGATGGTCACTGTTGTCAGGAAGATTAAACTCCACCAAGCAGGGACAATCCAGGACCTCAACAAAGCCCGAGTATCCTGCCTTCCTCTGCAGGTTGGCCACAGGAGACAGGTAGAAAGTGATGGCCCTACATCAATGGCCCCAAAGTTCAGCTTCAATGATCCCAGGACAAGTCATTGTGTTTATGTTGTATGTTCCAATGTTATGGTGACTTGGAGGTCTCATTAGTTTTAGATGGACTCTTCCTCCATGAGTGGACAGCTTTTCAAGATAGCAAAGTATCTCCAACAAATTCATTTACCAAAGGAAACCAGTTGCTATAGTTCCTGCCATCCCATCATTTTCCCAATAAGGCCACCATGCACCTAGTTATCTATACCCCATATGCCATAGTCTTCCAGTCCTATGCCTGACTGAAACATGTCACCTGTTTTCAATGGAAACACAATGAAGGTCCTAGGTGCACATTTTCCAGATGTTATTAACTGTATGTAGATTGAAACTCCTATATGTTTTCCCACCTTGCCTGTGTGGTCCCTATTTTAGGATCTTTGAATAACACATTGTCTTTTCAAGGGTGTTGTTTCCTGGATTGTAGGACTTTTAAACCAGTGCAGTAAGAAAAGTGTGGTTTGAGCAAGCAATCAAGTGAAACTCAGTGTCTAGATAGCAGTAGAAAAATGGGTATGTTTTGTTGGGGAACCTTCTCCAATTATTGGATACATGTGGGCTGTGCTTAGATCCTAGGGAAAGAAGTCATACATACATGGTAGAAAGAATGGTCAGGATAGCAATGGGAAACTATGAACGGGGAAGTTGAGCCAACCCACCAACAAAGAATGGGCAGGAAAGTCAGTGCCATGGAGTGAGACAAGGAGATACCCCCGTTCCTGTGACCCTGCAGAGTCAGGGAAGTGGGCTAGGGTGAGAAGAGTCTGCTCTTTGTTCCTGACAGAATGTTACTAATTCTTACTTCCCATTATTTCCAAGGATGGAGAAGAGGAGGAAAGATCCCTACATAGGTTACTCTTACCCACCTCAGTTTCACACAGTGTCCTGACTCCTAGCTATAGAAATCCAGGAACAATCCCTTAGTTTTTTTAATCACACTAAGATTTGCATGTGTTTGTTTCTTGTACATTTATTTGTTACAGGAGAACATAAACTACACTCTTAAAAACTGTATTAACTTTAGTATTCCAGTGAGTATACCACAAACCAGTTTTTGTTGAATAAACTCCATAATTTATATCCACCAATAATTCAGCCTCAACCTACAACTCAACAATATCAGGACCAAATTTGATTGAGTAGAAATTGCTAAGCCTGCAGACAGTTTCAACTTGCAGATGACTCTTCCAGTGGGCATCTTTGCACTAACTTTTGTGACCAACTTTAGCAAAGAAGCAAAAGACAGGCAGCTGAACTTGAATATAAATAACCTGACAATAAAGAGCAGGCTATAAAGCTTTATATGAGCATTCATAAAGGTAGGAGAGTGTGAAGTGCTGCTTTCCTCTGAAGATACATAGTAAAGATAAGCAGAGCACACAGTGACAACAGCTTGTAGCAGGTCATCTGGCAAATTATTGGCCAAAAGCATGAGGAACAGCAAGATGGACTCTTTCTCCCTGCATGACACTGCCTCACTTGCAGCAGCTAGAAGTATGTCACCCACCCTTCATGTTGCATTGACATTCTGGGTGATATGGTTTCCATAAAGTAAAGGTAGTTACATGTTATGTATATGTGTAACTTGCAGCTACATATAACTGTCAAGAATATTATATAATTCTAACCTAAAATACTAAATGGAAGCAAAAAGATTTATCAAGCTAAAAGACTACATTATTCTATAGACAGAAAGGGAGTGTATCCAAATGCAGGGTGGGAGAGGAACAAGGAGGAATAGAGGGAGGGGAAACTATAATCAGAACATATTATATGATAAAAGAATCTATTTTCAATAAAAAGGGAAAAGACTACATTATTCTATAAAAGTGATGATTAAACAATTTGAAGGAAATTAGAAAACCATTCAATGGACTTGGAGAGATGGCTAAAATATCATGAGGGCTTACTACTCTATCAGAATGCCAGAGTTTAGACCCCAGCATCCACATTGGTTGGCCCACCAAAACCTGTAATTCCAAGTCCAAACAATCCAATGTCCCCTGTGACCTCCATAGACTCCTACACACACATGTACGCAAGCCCTTACACATACATACACACACACACACACACACACACACACACACACAGAGAGAGAGAGAGAGAGAGAGAGAGAGAGGGACAAAGAATATCATTCGAGATACTCTGAAAGATGAGTTACAACAAGATATAGTGTTCACAGACACTCTTAAGAAAAAAGCTTCCAATGAGTGAATGAAAGGAAGACATGGAGAGATAGTTCATGGGGGAGAGATCTAACAGATTCATGAACAAAAGTCTTTAGTTCTTCATCAGCTGTAACAAAAAGGAAGCACAATGGCCCTCTTATGCTGTCAGACACCTTTATAAACATACACCTTGTGGTAAAGCAGGCATTCTGATGCACTTTGACTGTGGTCGAGACATACAGTGGTACCACCTTCTGATGAAGCACTCTGAGTGTAAGGTGGTCATTTTTCCTCTAGACTTTATCTGGGCCCTGCAATCATCTTTTCTTTACTCCTTTTGTCAAAACAAATGAGGGCACAGTGCCTCCTGGGAAAAGGGAAGCAAAATGTTTTAAAGAAACTGCCAGAGAATTGCTGTGTCTTTGACTTAATAATTATAGTTATTTTAACTGGCCTTAAGTTTCCCAGAACCTCCATCCACTCCAAGATGTCAGGAGGAATTAATTGGAGCAAACAATTTGGAAAGAGCCTTTGTTACAACAGGCGTCATGCTGCTGAGTTGACAGGAAAACACTGAAACAGACAAAGAAACTCAGTACCTGTTCTTGATGTGCTGAGGGGGGCCAAGACACCTGAAGCTGCCATCCACCATTATGGCTAGCCTGGTACACAGAGCCTCACACTCTTCCATGCTGGGAGGAAATAAACAAACAGAAATGAGCCATGTTATAAAGGTATGAACCCGGTTCAAGCTTCAGAAATCAAAAGGAGGCAAAAATACCACTGATCCAAATTAAGTAACTTCTAATATAGAACACCCATGAAAGTGAAATAAGGTGACTCGAAAATTCCTGACATTTTGTTTAGGTAGCTAATTTAATGAAGGTTGTTTGGATATCTATATGCCTGGAAAAATGATCAGTAATAAAATATATAAGAGAGAACCATTTATAATCATCAAAAATACAACAATATATGTACAGGGGATCTTAGCAAATATGTGATTTCTTCATATTTTCAAAATACTTTTATTGAAAATTTTTTATAATATAGATACTTTAGTTTTAATTTTGGAGGCATAAAATCATATATTTTGCTGTTATCTATGAGTAAGTGGCTTGAAATTAACCAGGATTCTCTTTAATTATAAATGACTGTCGTGATTCACTACATAATTATTTTATTACAAAATTTCAAATTTAAATATTTCTATCTTTTTTAATCATGAATAATTTCCAGTTCCTCAAATTGTGTATTCTTATTTAAAATTAAGTATATTAAATTTTCTTGAATTTGCTTCACAATTTCTTTTCTACTTTTATTTTTTACTTTGGAGAGCTTAATGAGTCTAATGAAATTTGGTTTTTGTATTAATAAAAATGATGCTATGAAAAAAATATCTATTAATTAAAGAATTAAGAAAATTGAAATTTATTTGTTATAAAGAGAAATCAAATTGTACTATTCGTAGTAAAATTGATTTAACTGAATATTATGTTCATAGCAATGTGTCTGTCTCAAAAATTATTGCATGACTGTATAGATACAAGTGAAAATTTTTAGGAAAACAAAGGTGAGGACAGAGTTTTGTGTGAGAATATATGTTCACATTATAATGAAACCTTTCATTAAATGTCTTTCTAAAATCCAATATAATATAGAAAGAATGTAGGCCAAAAAATAGAAGGGGCAAAGACAACAGTTAAATAAGATTTTTAAAAATAATTTTGCAAAATCAATACAGGTAAAATTACAATTAATAAATGCCATTTCAACAATTCTATTGAATCTAGAGGTTGAAAGAAGTGGTATGTAGCTGTGAAAATGGCAACCAGCACTGTACATACATAGCCTCTGTGATCTTATGCAGCCTCTTTTACAGCTCAAATGAGAGAAAATACTTATATATGTGATGAAACACCGTATACTGTCCAAGTGTCACTGGATGTACATTTTTGCTCTTCTTAGATGTACTTTTCACAGGTCAATGTAAGGCCTTTAAATTTAACTGTTGGCTAGTTCCTCAGATCTTTAAATAACTATATTTCTTCAATGTATATTTTTTTGCTCTAAAAACATCTCTTCATAGATGTCTTTGCTGATTATCATACTAGAGTAAATGAGAGGAAACACTTGGAAAAAAAGGAATGCCAAACCTTTACTGACAAGAAAAAAATGAAATCTTGATTCAATAAAACAAGGAAAATAGTGAATATTTCAAAACCAGGAAACTGTTATAATCAGAAAGTGAATATAATGTAAGATGAGTCCCCTTATTGGTTGTCCAATACAGAGGGGTCAGTCTGGAAACCATAGACACACAAACAGTAAAATGAATTCATTAGGTTGCATTTACATATTTGTGCAGACATACACATAATATGTATGCATGTATCAATAATAATCAAAGGGAAAAAGTCTATCAATTTAAGAGTCAAGGGGTGACATGAGAGGGATGAAGAGAGACTACCTGTATGAGGTTGGGAGGGAGGAAAGTAAAAGTGCAAGGTGATGTAATTCTGTTTTAATAAAAAATTATATAAATTAAAAATAACATTTCATTAAGGCAAAGACCCAACAATTTAAAAATGGTTTACATTTTACACCATGTAAAATATGATATAAAATACTAGAGATAAACTTTTACATTATAACTATACTTTAAATTGTAAGATGATTTTAATATTCAGTATCAAATTGTAAAGATCTACAATTCATAATTATTATAACTATGATTTATAAATTAAAATATAGATGGAATACAATGCAAAACAAAATGCAATCACCCCCACAAAAATGCTGAAAATTTCAATTTAAAATTAGAAGAAGGAAATTGTAGAAAAAGTTGTGAGGAAAAGGCAGTAGTAGAAGAGGTTTTTACAATGCTGAATTACAAAGAGGAAACACACTGACTTCATGCCAGAGAAATGGCATTAGAACAAAAGAGCCCCAAACATACTATAGGTAGGACAAGTACAGAAGTGATTTGAGCATGGAATGTATTTTCCAAATGTAACAGTAGTGAAAGAAACGCTTGAGAAGATGTTGGATATACTTGACAATCAAAATTCCAGACTTCTAACAAAAGTATCAGATCACAGTGATAGCATTTTAAAGAGACTGCAGAATATCTATCCTTAAATGACATGTTTATGTCACATTCTTTCTCCCAAGGTTCAATGATCATTGTGGAAGATGGGGAAGATGGTGGGAGCCAGAGGCTGTGGATGGATGCAAGGAAACAGCATCTTCCAAGCACAAGAGGGCAGTTGCACAGATGAACTCACAGTGATTATGATAACATGCAGAAAAATCTGTGAACCCAAGCCAGACAAAATCATCCTAGCATGAAAGGGAAAGGTGGGCATGCAGTCCTACTCCTAGCTGCTAGGTTTCCTTTAATGGTGTGACCCCTGAAAAAGGCAGCTATGCTGACGATCAACCTCCCAAAACAATATAGAAATGGAATAAGTTGGGCTCTATGGATTGAAAAAGAAACAAATGGACACAAATTGAATGGGTAAGGAAGGCGAGGGGTGTAAGGGAGGAGCTGGGGATGACTATAATCAATCCACTGTCTGAAATTCTCCAAGAATTGGTAAAAATAAAAATCCAGTTTAGCAAACTAAATAGTTACTAAACAATTAACAAAATAAACCATGCAAACAAAGCAACAGACAGACAAGGATCTGTTCAATCCCTACTTCTATGTTGAAAAGCAAATGTCTTTTCCCCTATTCCATTTCAAATGAAACAGTGAGTTGGCAAATCAATAAATACCCAGTTAGTTAGACATTTTCTCAGAAATTCAAAATGGGACATCTCATATGCAGACAGTGGAGTAAAACTGCCATAAAATTTGAAAATTATATTTGACCATGATTTCTTTTCTAGGAACTGGAAAATGCAAACTGAGAATTATATAACCACTTATTACACCAGTAGCCCAGGATTTCTGCTGGGAGTCTAGGAAGTCTCTGCCCTGTAGAGACCGCAACTCAGATCTATTCACTCCTTGACTACCTCATAGGAAGGAATTTAAGGTGGGGGAAGCAAAAGAGAAAGTTTATTAAGAAGACAGAGAGGCACATCCAAGACTGGAACCACATGTCACAGGTTGACCTGAGGGAACATAGTCAGCAATACAAATGGTTAAGTGAGAGAACAAAATGTCTTTTCTGAGATGCCATAAATTGAAGCTGTTTGTTGTAGAAGTTTATTGTGAGGTCTAGGGGATGTATAATATGAACGGTCTAAGCCAGCCTCACATGTTTTATATGACTATTTCTTTGCTTGTTCATTTATTACTACTGTAGGACTGGGAACTAAATCCAGAGCCTTGTGTCTACTTAGACATGCACTGTACCACCAGATGAAACCCTAGCACCCTCTTTACTTTTCATTTTGAAATAGGGTGTCACTAAATTACCCAAGGGGGCTTTGAATTCACTATGTAGCCCATGAAAGCAGTGCAAATTAATTTCAATCCTTCAGCCTCCAGAGTCACTGTGATAATAGGTCAATGTCACAAGGGCTAGCCTCTGTTTCATAAACTAAATTTAATTTAACATGTCTTACCATGTTTATGATGCTGATGTGGAAAGAACATGAAGTTGTGTCCACACTAATGTCTTAAACATACATTGAACAAATGGATGATTACATCATTGTGTGAGTTCCAACTTCAGAGTGAGTGATGTGGCAAGTCTAAGTGGATCTTACCACATGTTCAACACATAAACCCAAAAGCATGTGGGTACAACAAAATCTAAGCTCAGAACTCAGGGTGGAGAATTCAATTTGATTATCTTTCAAAGAAAGAAGAACACACAAAGCCTGAGATTGTCAACAGTGAAAACAACCAAGGGTCATCTACTTAAAAACAATGTAAAAGTGGATTCTTTTCCCTGGATGGTTATCCTGAATGATACAGATATGTGGTGAGGTGAGACAGGATTTAAAGCCTTGGACTGTAAATGAAGCTTGTTTCTAATTTAAATAATAAAAGGAAAATGCCTTGGACTGGAGTTTTGGCATCAGGATTGGATGTGTAGGAAAAAGCAGGAGTCCTTCCCAGGATGGATGATTATCGGCCCATTTTCTGCCTCATGTTTTCTCACTATGCTGTGTGTTAAGACATACATAGAGAAAAGTATTGCACTACAATCACAGAATCATACAGGTCTCCCGCATCTTCATTCACACTGAGCCATTCACATCCCTATATTATATGACTAGAGAGAAATCAGCCTGCATATTTGCAAATGTAGAATATTGATGTGAAAGCAAATGAATTGGAGGATTTAAAAGAGAAATATCAATGATAAGTGGTCTTTTTGAGAGAACAGTTTACAATAATTTCATATATTATGAAAAATAAGAAGAATTTTCATCATTATACAATTTTACCCATCTAAGGACCCATGGTTGGACATCAAGGACTATGCCTGTGCCAGCAACAGATGCAAGCAGACTCAGTATATCAGTATGGAACTGCTAAAATTCCAGAGCAATGTGAACATCTACAGCAATAATATATATTCAAATAAGTATCAAATTCACTTGTTTCAGCAAAAAAAAAATCCTTTGGGAAGTGAAACAGAATAAAAACAAAAACTCAGGGGTGGTCCTTCTGGCTACATCTGAATGAGAAAATTATCAAATCATTGTCCTCAAAGTCATAACTATCAAAACAGCCATTTAAGAACTCCAGGAATGGACCAAAGGCATGCAGGCATTTAACTCTGTGAATATGATGCCAAAAAGCCACTGACACGATAAGAATATGGTAATCTGTGACCCACTGTGGGCTACTATCTCTCTGCCTAGCTTTGACAATGGCCACTAAGGGCAGGCCAGGAGATGAGCTGAAAAACTCAACAGGAACCTACACCCAGTTTCTAGATGGGAGAGGAAAAATATCACAGGAATTAGAGACCAATAGAAATTAACCAATCTTGGAATAAATATCCAGCAAAGAAAATAAAACAAAAAATGGGCAAATATTAAATTAAAATATGGCAATAACTGAAAACTTACTTTCAGTACTCAGATGCAGTGTCATCTAACATGTCCACTCTTCAACAAAAAGGCTTTATGGTCAAATAGACTAATTCTTTTATTGTCCCCTGCTATTGGTATCTTAAATTCTTCTAATAAATTTGAAATGATAGAAACTGCAAAAGAACATTTCTTAAAGCCTTCTAGAGTTAAGTTTAAAAGTAGCAACATGAAGAAAGTAGGAAAATTTTCAAAAAAACATTGAAAATTAAGATTTCTAAATAAATCATGTGTCAGGAGGAAGTCGCAGGGGAGACTAGGAAACATTTTTGAGTGAATGAAAGCTTCAGTAATAGAAAAAATGGGAAAGTGACATAGTTTGTTGGCCAAGCCTCACAAAAAGCCCGGTAATGGGGACAGTGCTGTGTGCTGAGAGCAAGAGCACATCCCAATGGGGAAGAGGGAAACTGTCCAACACAGAAAGCCAATTTGAATTCTCACAACATACCCTCCATAATATGGTGGGGAATGAGAGGTTCTCCCACCAAACAGTTCTGGAACAATTGGATAGCCACAAGTGTAACAATGAGTTGAGACTCTTGTATTATACTATATATAAAATAGCTTTAAGTATAGAAAAGATTATTAAACAGTAACAGTATTAACCTGTCTTAGAACAAAAATTCTCATGAATTGAGGACCCAAAGTTCTTAGCTATAATTCTTAAGAACAAACCATAGAAACAGAGAACAGTAAGACTTAATAAAAATCTTAAAAATATTCATAGTTCCAAAGACAGACAGACCAAGAGAAAGCAATTGAAATCATATATCCAGCAGGAGACTTTAACACAGGATTTAACAAGACTCAGTGTATAACTTCTTTTACCTAAATAATTAAATGGAAATATAAGTTCACAAAAAAAATTAACAAGGAAAAGATGATACTGCAGGCCCTGTGGTAAAGGTCTATAACCACAGTGACTTGGGAAGCTAACATGGAGAGAACAAAATTTTAAGGCCATTCTTAGCTAGGGAGGAAATTGAAGGCCAGCCTGGACAACTTTGAGACTTTGCCTCCAAATAAAGGGTAAATGAGGAATGGGAATGTAGCTCAGTGGTAAAGCACATGCCTAGTGAGTGTGTGGGAGGGGGCCTCTACGTTTAATTTGTATTGCCACCAAAAGAAAAAAGTATTCTTTGCAAGTCAAACATGAGCTCATTGCACAGTCCAACAATCAAGTTCATTGGCATTTATTCAAAAGGTCTAAAAAACATCCACATAAAAACCTGCACATGGATGTTTATAACAGCTTTGCTTTCAATTACCCAAACTTGTCAGTAATCAAAGCATCTTTCAGTGCGTGAGCAGATAAATAAACATCAGCACAGCCAGACAATAGAATATTGCTCACTGTTGAGAGGCAATGGGCTTACAAACAAGGGAAGTAGGGAAAAAGCCAGCCTTGAAAGGCTTGGGTGGCATTCCAGATGTGCAATCTCTAGAAAAGGCACAATGCTACAGGCAGTAAAATGTCTGATTGCCAAAGGTGAGGAGAAGGAAGGGTGAACAGGGGAACTTGAGGAACTCTTCATTCAATGTAGGAAGCTGAGGCTGTATCTTGAGATTGGGTGTTTCTCCAAAGCCATGGAATGCTCAACACCAAGATGAAAGGCACTGTAAGTATGGATTCCGATGATGCTGCTCTGTGTCTCTGATGTTTTATTCACTGTAGTAAATGTCCCACTCTAGACAAGTGTTAACAAATGTGTCCACACATATGGGTGAGGGTACACAGTTAATCTCTTTATGTTTGTTTATTTCTTATTTCTTTGTGTGTGTGTGTATATATGAAATATTGAATGTGTTATATTATCTGTGTGTGACTATGGGATCATGCATGTTATGGCATGTGTATGGAATTCAGAAGACAGCTTTTAGGAGTTGTTTTTCTCCTTAAGCTGTGGGTTTGGGCAATTAAATCTGAAACTCCAGACATGCACAGCAATTGCTTTACCCACTGAGCCACAGTGCTATCCCTATTTCTTAAGTATTAATCATGCACTACTCAGCAAAAATAAAGAAGGAATTACTCACATGTGCTATTATAGCCTGGGTAAGCATTGCATACTCTCTAAATGAAAGTGGTCAGATAAAATGTGTATGTGTTATATAATTCTATTAATATGAAATGCCCATAAAAGTCAAATTTCACATCTTTACAGTTCCTGACAACTTTTTCATAGCATATTTTAATTAAACATGGAAGGAAAAATCAAGCTTAAATTTATAATGTGTTCTTCATACCATCTTCAGGGTTGTCATTAACCAAACTCTATCACTCTCCATGTAATGGTTTCATGAAATCTACATTTGTATTGTTGCATGGCACATAAGTGTTTCATTATGCTGAGAGGGGGATTCTGGTGCAGAATTCTAACTACAAAATTAATTCTGTAATGAGATCCAGTAGTGGGCTGGGCATGCATTTGAGATTATTGACAGGTAGGAATGGGGAAGCCTGGGTAGAAAGGAGTTGGGGATCCTTAGGAAAGGCAGACAGAGTCCAGCCCTCACCTGAACATCACAGTTGAGCGAATCTATACACACAAGTCATGGAAAGGCTCCATTTCTAACTCTGCTCCTCTGTAGGCCTTGGCCATCTGACATGACCCTCTCTGTCTTAGTCTCCCAAAGAGCTTCTGGGATTAAAGACTAAGGAAGGTACTTCTGTGCCAGTCTCCGGGTTTGCTATCCAGCCTTGCTCAGGAACTGACAATTAGAGAGGAAACATCACCTGTGAGAGGTTAGCACTGCAGCACAGCCATCCTGAACCTCCTGAGTTATTGTTTGCCACAGGTACCGCTTAGAGCAGGGGTCCATCCCAGAGCTGGGCTCATCCTGAGAGGAAGAAAACACATAGTGATGGTCATTTGATGAACACAGACAGTAATGAATATCTACTATCACATGGATACAGACCTGGCCAGGAAAGGTCTGAATTATTCACCTGACTGCTGAAAGTATCCCTCAAAAAAAAAAAAAAAAAAAAAAAAAAAAAATTTTTATTCAGACGGTCCTATAAGAAGACTGCTTTGGATCTGAGGCAGCAATGTGAGATTTCATGCAACTATGACACCACCAAATGCACACAGCAACATTACAGTAACAGCCTCAATGTGATGAAGAAGTATGAGTTGAGTGACAGGATTTGGAGATTGTCATCTTTGGAAAGCTCAGTGGGCTACAAGTGATTACAAGTAAGAAAGTCAAGAGAATGCGGAAAATAACATATGAACAAAACAGTGCCTGCAAAGGAGATGAAAATCAGGTAGTTTTGAAGCAGAAAGTTTAGAGAGCAAAACGATAAGTGTAACAGAGTTTTTACTGCAGACTGGATCCAGCCAAGGAAGGAGTCATAAACACAGACTACTTAAAATTATCCAATCATGGGATAAAGGGAGAAAGAGGGGAAAGTAGTGAAGAAAGCATTAGGGGGGGTGCACTTTAGAGCAATCATTACAGACTGACAGTCGAAGGAGCAACAACATGATCATATAACCCATGAGGTCTCCTTGTGTGTACACAGCCAAAGACAATGAGACGGATGACAGCATGCAGGCATGCACTAACACATCTGCTGCATCACCACTCACATTGGCCAGTGTATGGAAATGCCCAACATCAGATGCATAGATTAAAATGAGAAATTCTAGAGAAGGGGGACAGTAAGACACTTGTATAATACAGGAATCTAGATATCAATGTGGACTGGAAAAATTCCAGAAGATCCTACACATAAATGAAGAGCTACAGGTAATCGACTGCTGCTCAGAGAGGGAGATTAAGTTTTCTTCAGGCACAAATGTCCTGATAAGTCCTCCAATTCCAAGTGGTCATCCCTAAATAAGAGCAACACAAAAGACTCAATAAGGTTTGTGTGTGTGTGTGTGTGTGTGTGTGTGTGTGTGTGTGTGTGTGTGACTAAATTATAATTAATGAGTCAGTGAGGGTGGATACAAGGGGAGACAGAGAAAGGCAATCACACCTGCACATAAACTCTAAAGTCACAGAAAAAAGGAGCAGAAGAAAAGTTTCTGGAAATGGAACATGGGGAACTGCACAGAACACTTCAGTTACTTAACCAATCAGAATCAACTCTGGATTGGGGATTTCTATGGCTAGAATGTTTTGTGCTCTCCAAAATTCAAGTTGAGACATAGTCCCCTGTGAAACTGGACTTGAAGGTATAGCTTTGGGAAATGATTGCGTTATGAAGATTCCACCCTCAGGGTGCCATTGGTTTGCCTACAAATGAGGATGATAGAAAGGTCATCTGTTTTTGAATTTGTGACTTCTGCCACATGAAGACACAGCATTCCCTCCTCTAGAGGAGGCACAGTCAGTCGGAGCCATCTTGAAAACGGATGGATTATCACCACATACCTATACCTGTAGGCATCTGGATTTAGGACTTCCAAACTATAGAACAGGGAACAATGTGTCTCTGTTCTCTGAGTGACTGATCCTGTGACAACCTGATTGATGGTGGGAAAAGTAGACAGACAGGGTCTGTAATCAACAACTCTGTGGTGAGTGGTTAGAATTTCCTCCTCACCAACTGCCATCACTAAGTGAGGTCATTCAGTTTGGCTGTGGTCATTATTACAAATGTATGTTTATAGCAAAACAACACATGTATACTTTAGATTTATTAAGCCCATATTCATCAATGATGCTTCGGTAAAACTGCAAGAAGGGTGCACATTTTCACACCAGTTTAGTTTCCCTTGGCGATCTGGTTAGGAAAGGCAAACACGATGTTTTTAAAATGAAACTTCTACTTCCATAAACTTTCAGAATGGCCTCCACCAGTAAGATATATGATAGTAGAAAGGACATCATTTATTGAAAAAGAGCAAATAAATTGAAGTTTCTTGAAACCTGAAGCTCTCCTCTTCAATAAACTCCCAAATACTTGTTATCTGAGTCACTTTGAAAGGAAGTCTTGCCCAGCTGTGTGATGCATGTCTGTGCTTTTTGCAGTCAGGGAACACTAAACATATATCTCTTAAGAGCTTCTAGCCATCAGCTTTTCCAAAGAGGAAAGCATATAGGGAATGGGGGAGGAACACTGAACAGGAAAACAAACACTTGGCCTTTTCTGAAGATCGAATGGTGTATGTGTACTGATTAAAAAGTAAGAAAATAAGAAGTGGGATCAGGTTTTGCTAGGGCAGAAGGTTGAGTGGGTGATTTTAAACCTTCCTGGTTCCTGCCCACTTCTTCTTGTCTCTGTGGAGAATGTCAAATGCATTGCTTTAATCTGATGATTTGAGTACCACCATCACAGTAACTCCCCAAGCACTGGATGACAAACTTAATATGGATTATTTAATTTACTGCCTTCAACATCTCCATGAGACAGACACAATTAAGTGTACTGCTTTCAAACAAGGAGACAATAGGCACACATGTTCAAGGACACACTGAAGAACTATAATAGCACATTGATACTTGGTTATTTGGTTACTGTGCCAGAGTTCTAGGCACTCAGGGCTAGTGTAAATGAGGGTATGTGAAAGAAGAAAACCTTGGGTATACAATGAGCCAAGGAAATGTCTCCAGAGTAGAGATCTTTTCAGTGCAATGAGGAAACACACCATGAGAGTAAGAACATTCAGAAGGAAGGGGTTAATGCCAGTGGCCTCTCAACACAGCCTGCCTCATCTTGACAGGATAGTGTCATAACAGAATGGGATAAGTGATTATAAGATCATAGGCAGGTAGGTAGATAGATAGATAGATAGATAGATAGATAGATAGATTCCATTATAATACATAAATAGCACTGATACTCAACCAGTTAGTCAAAAACGAAGAGCAAACAGAGTTTCTAAGATCCAACCAGAAGATGACAAAATCATTTTTCTAACACAATTCTTCTGGGTCTCCATTAGTTTTCCCAGGGGAAATGTTTTCATGTATAAACAACATAATAAGATCATTTTTATTTCCTATATTTTGAATGCACTTGGGTGATGGGGGAAGTCCTTCTGTATATATGTCTCTCTTATTGGTTAACGAATAAAACACTGTTGGCCAATAGGGAAGCAAGATAGGTAGGACTAAGAGAAATGGAGGCACCATCCCTAACTTTAAGCTCTATTACAGAGCTATAGTCCTGAAAACAACTTGGTATTGGCAGAAAAATAGACAGGGGGAATAGGCCAATGGAATAGAGTTGAAAACCCTGAAATTAACCCACACACCTATGAACACCTGATTTTTGACAAACAATCCAAATATATACGCTGGAACGAAGAGAATATCTTCAACAAATGGTACTGGCATAAGTGGATGCAAACATGTAGAAGACTACAGATAGACCCAAGACTTTCGCCCTGCACAAAACTTAAGTCAAAATGGGTCAAAGACCTCAACATAAACCCAGCCACACTGAACCTGCTAGAAGATAAAGTAGAAAATACCCTTGAATTAATTGGTACAGGAGACCGCTTCCTAAACATAACACCAGTAGCACAGACACTGAGGTCAACAATTGATAAATGGGACCTCCTGAAACTGAGAAGCTTCTGTAAGGCAAAGGAGACATCAAGACAAAACAACAGCCCACAGACTGGGAAAAGATATTCACCAACCCCACATCTGACAGAGGGATGATCTCCAAAATATACAAAGAACACAAGAAGCTATTCTTGAAAACACCAAAAAATCCAATTAAAAAGTGGGGTACAGAACTACATAGACAATTCTCAATAGAGGAATCTAAAATGGCTGAAAGACTCATAAGAAAGTGTTCAACATCCTTAGCCATCAGGGAAATGCAAATCAAAACAACTCTGAGATACCATCTTACTCCTGTCAGAATGGCTAAAATCAAAAATACCAATGACAGTTTATGCTGGACATGTTCATAGCAGCATTATTTGTAATAGTCAGAAACTGGAAGCAGCCTAGATGCCCCTCAACTGAAGAATGGATACAGAAAATGTGGTACATTTACACAATGGAGTACTACTCAGCAGAAAAAAAAAAACAATGGTATCTTGAAATTTGCAGGAAAATGGATGGAACTTGAGGAAACCATTCTGAGTATGGTAACCCAATCACAAAAAGACAAACATGTTATGTACTCACACATATGTGGACCCGCTTTTTGATACATAGTTGTGACTCTGCCTTATCAGAGCTGTTTTTACTGATGTTGCTCAGAATGGTTTCCTTCCAAATGATGATTGAGAAGCTAAATTTAAAAAATGGTGCCAGGTATCACAAGAGTAACAGAACTGTGCTGTTTTTCTGGGATTTTGTTTTTTACATTTTTGTTTAAATGGAGAGTGCTGGATGTCTCTACAACTTTGTTCAAATGACTGCAGAACCTGGAAAATCTGTTGCTGCTAATGATGCATAACATACTGTCATTATTGGTCTTTTTATATAAATATATATATATATATACATATATAATTTGAATTTTTAGAAACTTTAGCTGTGCTGTCAACTTTGGAAAAAAGTATCCCAGTTTACTGTGTTGAGTTGGCATTGTACAAAAATTAACACCCATATTGGCCTAGAAATGTTGAACTTAATTTTTTTCCATTTGTACAGGGGTAACGCGCTGTATTTAATATGTAAGGTCTTAAAAAAAGAAGGGATTTTGAGAGCCCATCCCATGTGAAGAGATGCTCTCTTGACCTGGACACATGGGGAAGGGCCTAGGCCTGGCCCAGGATGATGTGGTAGACTTTGGGGATCCCCTTTTGAGGACCTTACCCTACCTAGGGAGTGGAGGGTGTAGGTGGGATGTTGGGGGGAGGGAAGGGAGAGGGAGAAGGGATTGACATCTGAAGCAAGCTTGTTCCTAATTTGAACTAATAAAATAAAATAAGAGAGAAATGGAGGATTCTGGGAAATGTAGTAGAGAAGAGTCACTATGTGATCACAGGAAGAGAGGATGCATAAGGCTGGTGTCCTCAGTAAGATAAGTCCTTATAAAATTATATAGATTAGTAGTTATGGTTGATAATTAAGACTGAGCTAGCAAGTAAGAAATCCTAGTCATTATCCAGCAGCATTGTAACTAATATTAAGTCTCTGTGTGTTATTTGGGGGAACCCAGGCCACTGGCGGAAAGAGTTATCGTTACACCTGGGACTGTCTTCCAAGGTGAAACTTTGGTTCGACTGTGGTGTTTAAATTCCTATCAACGGTAGAGGAAGAATGTTCTTCACTTGTTTAAATGCATGTGCACAGTTAGAACAGTTTTTAAATACACAGCAATTGTCCCTGTTTATTGATAACCAATCCCCCCCCCAGATAAGGTAACCTAAAATGGCTATTCCCAGAAAGGTGACAGACTCCCTTTACTCAAGGCCATGCTCCTGCTCTATCCCTTGCTAGAACTCCTGCCTTCCTCTGTATCCATGCTGCCAGACAGCTTTCCATTAGTATAACAAATAACCAAGACAACCAACTTATAAAGAAGGACTGCTTTACCTGACTTAATTTTAGAGGTTCAACCCAGGGTTGACTCTGCTGCTTTTCTATGAAGACAAGGCAGTACATCACAGCAGAGAAGAGTGTTTGAGCTCTCTCTTTCATGGCCAGGAATTGAAAGAGAAAGAGGAATGAGCTAGAGTCTTCCTGCCCAATTAGAACACTCCGACAATGTCCTAAAGCTGTGCTGCTAAGATCTGTTAGAACAGTGGTTTTCAACGTGTGGGTCTCCACTGCAACAGAGGTCTCTTATCAGATACACTGCATCTATTACATTATGATTCAGAACAGTGGCAAAATTAGTTATTAAGTAACAACAAAATAATTTTATGTTGGGGGGGTCACCACAATTTGAAGAACTGTATTAAAGAGTTGCATGCAGCGTTAGGAAGGTTGCAAACCACTCTCTTAGACATTCTAATACTCTCATATCATTAAGAGCTATAAAAGAAGCTGTTAGCACATGGATTTGGGGAGATGCTAATTTTTTGCAGATTTTTTTATTTGAATTGGAAACAAGATTGTTTTACATGACATCCTCCCCTACCAGCCCCCAACTAAAACCGTACCTATCACATATCCTTTCTGCTCCCCCTGGGTGGTCAGGCCTTCCACAGGGTGTCATCAAAGTCTATCATATCCTTTGGCCCACCCCCGTGTGTCTTGGCTCAGAGAGTATTCCCCTATATGGAATGGGCTTCCAAAGTCCACACCTATGCTAGGGATAAGTACTAAACTACTACAGGAGGTCCCATAGATTTCCGACGTTTCCTCACTGAAACCAATGTTCCTGGGGTCTGGATCAGTCCCATGCTGGTTTCCCAGATATCAGTCTGGGGAGCAAGTGCTCCCCATGTTCAGGTCAGCTGTTTCTGTGGGTTTCACCAGCCTGGTCTGGACCCCTTTGCTCTTCACTCGTCCTTCTCTACATCTGGATTCCAGTTCAGTTCAGTGATTAGTTGTGGATGCTAAATTAAACACAGCAAATTCTGATGCCTATCCTCATGATTTACCATGGGCCTATGTAACTACAGCTACAATAAATATAAACCCATAAGCAAACTAAGACTTCAAAGCAGTTTGTCAGAGGAAATAGTCTTCATCAGGGAAGAGCATACCAATTAGTTATCCAATACCAAGTGATCATCCCTGAAAACATACATCATACAAATAGGATTACAAAGATTTATCAAGTTATATTTAAAAATCTGTATGCATATGAATATACATACATGTGTGCAATAACAATTAATGAAAAAAGAGACCATGGATTTGAAAGGAGAGGTATATGGGAGGATTTGGAAGGAGGAAAGGGAAAGTAGAAATGTTCTAATTTTATTATAATCTCAAAAATAAACAAAAACTAACTAAATAAATGTAAAAGAAAAACACATATGTTTTCAGATAAAAGGTGAATATTATTATTTCAACATTCATTTAATGTTAACATTTTTTATGTGACTCTACCATAAAAATGACTGGTTTTTGTAAAATACCACTGGCATCTTCCAATATGTTGGAGAATATTTACTTAGGGCAGCCTCTATTAATTCATGCAGTTGGTTTCTCAAGTCCTGAAGTTCTGGGAGCTCAGAAAATTGAAATAATTTCAGCACGTTTACATTTACAACATCATTAACACAAGCCTGATATTTCAAACACTTACCAATAAAAGAATGTCAGGCTTCCCCACCAGGGCCAGGGCAGTGGAGAGCTTCCTTCTGGTGCCCCCACTATATACGGCCACAGGTTTGTCCACGTGAGGTTCAAGATGAAGGCGCTTTACCAGGTCTGCAGCCACCTGAAAGAGAAAATCTGTCCATGAACCTTTCTCCATGATGCCCAGGTGAGCTGGGTTGCCTCCTCCTGCCTCTCCTGCCTCCTGCCTCCTGCCTCTCCTGCCTCCTGCCTCCTGCCTCCTGCCTCCTCCTCCCACTATGCCTGTGTTCCTCTGACACAGGGACAAAGGACTTCTCCATCCCATTTCTCTTTATGAGAAAGGGAACAACAAGGAAATAACAAGAGAAGGAGGGCCCCATGTCTGTGGACACTTGGCATGACCGGACATCAAAGGACAGATCCCGACACCAAAGGACTCTGAATCAATGCTGAGCCAAGAAGAAGATCCACATTCAGATGAGTAGAATAAAGGGGGCCCCAAAGAAGGCTGAGAAAGTGCTGGATAGAAAAAAAATCAAGAAAACAAGGTACCAGACCCTCAAGGGAAATGACAACGAATGAGGGAAATAGGCCATTGATAGCATCTATACTTTTAGAGTTTGGTTTATTCAGTATCCAGGCTGAGGAAAGATGGGACCAGTATCTTCTTCATATCTGCAGGGAAATATATGATCACTCCATAAGAGTGTGACTTCATTCAGCAGAATCTACACACATCCTCAGCCACCAGTTACCTTTGGAGCCCTCATGCTCAGGCTCACAGCCTCTCTTGTCTGCACCATTGCACTCTGTGACTTACCACACATCCTGGTAGCCCACTTACCCTTAAATTTTAATTCAATCCCCATCCTCCCTGATGTGCATCAACTGAGTCCCTAAGATTACATGTAGTTTGAACTTCCCCAGCAGAATTTGCCCTAAAATACTTCTTTTGTTTGTTTGTTTTTTTATTTAAATTTGAAACAGACTTGTTTGACATGTCAATACCAGTTCCCTCTCCCTCCTCTCCTCCCCTGGACCCCACTGAGCCCCTTAACCCATCCCTTTTTTTGCTCCCCAGGGCGAGTGAGGCCTTCCATGGGGGATCTTTAAAGTCGGTCACATCATTTGGAGCAGGGTCTAGGAAGTCACCCATGTGTCTAAGGCTGAGAGAGTATACCTCTATGTGGAATGGGTTCCCAGAGTCCATTTGTATACTAGGAATAAATACTGATCCACTACCAGAGGCCCCATAGCCTGCCCAGGCCTCCTAACTGACACCCACTTTCAGGGGGACCAGGTTCACCAGCTGTCTGACTGGGGTCTACGAGTTCCACCCTTGTTCAAGACTGCTATTTCTGTGGGTTTCTCCAGCCTGGTCTTGACCCCTTTGCTCATCACTCCTCCATCTCTGCAACTGGATTCCAGGAGTTCAGCTCAGTGTTTAGCTGTGGATTTCTGCTTCTGCTTCCATCAGCTAATGGAGAAAAGCTCTAGGATGGCATAGAAGGTAGTCATTGGTCTCATTATTGGGGAAGGGCATTTAAGGTAGCCTCTTCACTATTGCTTAGATTGTTAGTTGGGGTCATCCTTGTAGATCTCTGGACATTTCTCTAGTGCCAGATTTCTCTTTAAACCTATAATGGCTCCCTCTATTATGGTTATCTCTTTTCTTGCTTTCCTCTATTCTTCCCCTGATTCAATCCTCCTGATCTCTCATGTCCTCCTCTACCCTCCTCTTCTCCCCTTCTCTTTCTCCTAACTCCCTCTCCCCTTCTCTCATGTTCCCAATTAACTCAGGAGATCTTGTTCCTTACCCCTTCTCTGGGGTACCATGTACGTTTCTCTTAGGGTTCTCCTTGTTTGCTAGCTTCTCTGGAGATGTGGTTTACAGTTCTGTCTCTTTGTGGGACCCAAGCTAGGCATTTTGTTTGTTTTTTACAACTGTCTACATAATTCTTAAAAACACACACTTCATATAATTCTTTGTAAATAAGAATATACATTAATTAAGGTATTAATGCAGATATAAATGCAGTTTTGTTTTTCAGATACAGTCACATAACTAAACTAGTGAAAAACATAACTTAGTTATTTAAAAGGACAAATTATATAGGATTATGAGAGTTGGTAATTGTGTATTTTAAGGCACTAAATAAAACATTATTAAGTTAATGTATATATCTTTATAAACATATAAAACAGGATTATAATAATATGATGATCATGATATGTCATAAACCTCAAAAAATTTTGGATGATAATATCTTTAACTTAAATTATTCAGTTTGTATTTGCGTGGCTTCAAAGTAATTCAGAAAATGAGCTAAAAGACACAAGTGCTGGCCCATGCTCAGACAGTGTGAATCAAGGGAAGAGAAGTCAAGGCCCAAGAGTCAGATATAGATTAAATCTTCAGTCTCCCACCATTTTAAGAAAGCCATATCAAGGTCAATCCTTTGTTCTCAATGAAAATATTCAAGCCACTTTCTTCAGACTGTCTCACAGAAAACTTCCCTTCCCCTGTATTCATTAATTCCAATTATGTCAATTAAAATAAATTGAATAAAAGGCTTTTTAAGCAAATAGAAACTTCAAAATATTTTATCCAGGATTAGCAAACAAACACAAATAAGTAATTGGGGTCTTGCAGTAGCTTAGCAACAACCCATGGTGGCCATGGAATCACAAAGCTGAAGTGTAAGCCTAGTCCTGGGTAATGTTCATACAGAAGATGGAGAGAGGAAGCCGGATGCTTACGAGAAGCCTTTGCTTCAGTGCCAGCAGAACTGTGGCCACACAGATAGTCTATGGATTTTGAAAAATACAGACCCAAAGAGCTGTGTGACTAACACACCAAACAGAAATAGGAAAAGTGAAAAATTTGGGTTATTGTTTTAGAATTATGAAAAGATGCAAAATGTATTGCATTACAAATCTTTATTGTGATATACTGTATTTTACTCAGCAGCGGAATGAAAAGAGGCTAATAAAGGGGAAAACAAAGCAAAACAATGATGAAAAGCCCTGGTTTTATAGCAACAAGCCTTAGAGTAAATACATTCTTAATAAATTTGCCAACTGCTGTTGGTTATTTTTATGAAACCAGAGAATGTTTGTCATATTTTCCTAATTTCACAAAAGGTTAAATAGTGCAGTCTACAAATCCCAGAGCAGTTAATCATAGGGAAAATTCCAGAACGTGTAGGAACAAATGTCTGATCTAATGCTCTGTGAATGTCACTTTCAGAAAATAACAGAAAATGATCTAATAGGAAGCATTCTGCTGCCATCTTTTCTGTACTCTGTGCCACTATCAAAATAATGGCAAATGTAATGACCTAGAAATCAAGGCTGGCAAAATGCTACCTAGACCCCAAAATGTCATTAGCCACAAAACTCTCACTGTTATTGTCCCAGAATAACAAAATGTCATAAGTTACATGATATTACACATGCTTTCCTCTTAGAAAGCTCTAGAAAGTATGTCACATATAAAGCAGAAGACTGGAATTCATTATTTTTATGGCCCAGGCTGCAACACATTCGGCCCAGTAGAACTTTGGAAAGTATCCTATAGCCAAAATAGATTGTTCAGAAAAGCATACACACTCAACGGATTCCTGAGCCCAAAACTGCCCATATGCAAGTGTGATTAGCATATCAAAACTGTTCTGTGAAATTTAAGATTAAAATGAGACACTGAGTAGGAAAAATAAGCCAAGGATTTCCAAGGGAAAGGCCATCACATGACCTTCCCTCTGCCAATTCCTCCTAGTCAATTCTTCTTCACTCAAAACTTAGCTCTTTTCAAAACCCACAATGCATGGGAAAAAGAAATTTAAGATGTAAGCAATATCTACAGAGATGATGCTAAAAGCAATACTAAGAAGTATTCTTAGGAGTGGAAAGATAGTTCAGTATTTAAGAGTGCAAACTACTCATACAGAGGTCCTGAGTTCAATTCCTAGCAACCACATGGTGGTTCACAACCATCTATACTCGGATCTGATGTCTCCTTCTGGTATAAATTTGTACATGCAGATAGAACATTCATACATAAAATAAAAAAATCTTTTTTTAAAAAAAGAAAGGAAGTAAGAAAAAAGGAATTAAGGCAGGAAGAAGGGAGGGAGAGAAGGAAGGAGGGAGGGAGGAAGGCAAGGAAAGAAAAAAGGAAGAAAGGAAGGAAGGAACCAAGCAAGTAATGGGGCTGGAGAGATGTCTCAATGGGTTAAGAGCACTGACTGCTCTCACAGAGGTCCTGAGTTCAATTCCTAGCAACTACATGATGGCTCACAGCCATCTATGGTGAGAACCAATGCCCTGTCCTGGCATAAATTCATACATGCAGACAAAGCATTCATACATATAAAATAAAACAAATAAATCATTTTTAAAAAGATGTATTCTGAGAGTAATGTGGAGGTATTTACAAAGGCAGGACCAGTAAGGCACCTATTCCTATTCCAGAGAAGATCAAAATACAGATTTCACCAGGTTTCATCGCAATTTGAAATTTTGTTTGGATATATTAACTCAGGAAATATCAGAAAATTCTCTTTCCCCAGCCTCTCAGATTGTAAGTGCATTCCAGAATTATTTGGCTCTGATTTGATACTAAATGTTTCACCAAACTGGTAAGCTGAATACAAGCTTACAGTGCACCCTCTGCATACACTGTACAGTGTTCCAACCAAACTGGAAACGAGCCTTTCAATCAGCAGAGCCTAAATTCAAGTCAAATGAAGGGGTAACCTTTTCTTGCCTAAGTAAACATTTGAGGGTTGCAAGTGTAAATGACAAGATTATAGATAGACCAGATCAGCAAACTTGGAATAGGTGGATTGAGTACCCTGGAGTATAGGCAGAACTCAGTACATGGCCTGAGGGCAGGAGAGAAAGAGGGGTGAAGGAATGTGAGGATAAGGCAGAAAAGACTTTTCAGCAAGGAGCCTTCTTGAATCAGAGGGCACATTGGCTGACTGTCTATATTTCCATAGACAAGAGGGAAGCCTGGAGAAGAAAACTAATTTGAGTGGCTGATATATTAGGTGGAAAAATATCTCTTTTGTATCCATGGCTCAAAGCTTGAACAGGAGTACCCTTCTGGTCCCAACTCACTGGAGGACAATAGGAAGTAAATAACTGAGAAAAGCTCCAGGCTAGAGTAGCCCTATGGTCATTGAATACAGTTTCTATTTTCTTGATCGCACCAAAAACTGGAGAAGTAAGCTAGAGATATTGGTGATGGAAGATATTTTGTTCTCATTCATTGGCAACTGTCAGGCTGGTGTCAATCAAAAGCCTGTGCTCAAGGGCTGCTACCTGATCACTCTGTGTTTCATTTTCCCCAGTTGTAAAATCAGAAAAACACTTCTTAACTGCTTGGAATGGGGTGTGAGACAGACATACAGAAAGATAGTCATGTGTCACTTAAGGACAGTATCCATTTGAGAAGTGAATCTTCAGACATTTCATCATGCTGTGAACCTCAGAGAACAATCTCCCAATCCTATGTAGTAGATGTCAGTCACTGGACATGGATATGACCTCTCAGTACAATCAAGACATATGGTAAATACAAGGTGCATGAGGCTGTTGCCTGGGCAAATGGTCTTAGAGTAACCCATTTTTGTAAATAGAAGTGAACCTACACAGCAAAAAAAACACATTATAGTGCAGCAAATGTATACACCAGCAATAGTCAAGCATGATGTACAGGAGTCATTGATATAGCTGATGGCAGAGGTTTCTTAACACCACCAAAGTCACACAAGTGGTGTGCCATGACGATGTTAAGGTGGCTGTGGTGGCAACAAGCTATTGGGATTTTTCATGACAATTTTGTAACCTCGCCATTATAGGATCCATGGTGTACTAAACATTAAGATATGGTTCATGACTACATTTACTAGATCATCATTTTGTGTTACTTAACACTAATATCTTGTAAGAAGTACCTTAGACTCCTATGCTTATTCTATATTTCAAATGCTCACACAATTTACAGTAGTGGGAAATTGGCTGGGAAAGGCACTGTGTCCTTTAGGAATATGCAGAAAATGTGCTGATTTATTAGAAATTGCTGAATGAGCAAGTAGCGATACCATCTGCATAACCCTCTATAGCTTCATGAAGGAAATAAAGCTAGTTCCTAATTTGGTGAGCATTATAGTAACTTGTCAGTGGAGGAGTTACAAACACAGACTAAAGGACAGTGGACTATCAGAAGGCAATTGCCTGGGTGACAGAGAGCACCAAGTCTTATTAAAGGAGACTTCATAGGTGCATTCACCCAGACAAAAGGGGCAAGTTTATAGCCACTGCCAAGAATCCACCTCTTCAATCAAAAACTAACAAGAGGGAGCTGACAGAGAAAATGCCTATTAAAGATAGAGCCAAATATTAGGACTGGATGCTAAGAGCTGTTCAACTTCACTTGGTAGATCTCCTGCAGAGTGGTCAGTTAGCTTTGTTCATTAAGATGGGAGGTAGGTCAAGGATCCTGAACAATGAAGTGGAGAGCTTCTATTCTGGTTTTGTAAAAGTTATAAGTTATGGAAAAGAAGAAAAGAAAGACTACAGCATCACAAAAACAACATAGAGAATGAATTGTCATGGACCAGTAAGGGCAATGGCTATTAGCTTTGTCAACTGTAAATCCTAGGATGTCCCAACGCCTATAGACTCTGATTGATGATAACACCAATAAGCTCCATCCCATTTTATCCTGCTCCTTTTGCAGAACTAGAAATCTAGGCAGCACTTCCAATACTACAAAGAGGTGTGCAAAGGATAAAATATGCTTTGCATTCTGATGCATTCCTACTTTGAATGTCCTCTGAGCTGTTTGTCAAGGCTATTAGCTCTGATATGACCACTGCTTGTATCAGGAGAAGAGACACATCTCCCATGCCCATATTTTCACCTACTCTCCATCACTCAGGCAGCAGGCAGGGAGGCCTTAGAGTTCTTGCAGTTGTAGTTGCTCCTTTCTTCTCCTGAGACCACCCAGAAAGGCACTCTTCACAGTAAACTTTCTGCCTGCTCCCGAGGGAGCTATCCACTCCAATAACTCCAAGTTACACAAGCACACTGAGCCCAGACATGCAGTATTTGTTCCTGACCTCAAATACTTAGGGCTAGGAAATATACAAACATTTATAGGAAAAAGAAAAAAAGCTTAGAGATACAGAGTAACAGAGGGTATTATTTTTACTTATCTCCTTGCATAGAATTCTCACTGACACATTTTTTAAATATACAATATCAGTACAAATTTTAATGTTGGAAAATTACTTCCTTGAACTCATCTGGTGATAAGACTTCCTGTCTTATCCTGGGGTGAGAGAAGACCTTTGGAGCTATAGCTGATGGACCAGCATCTTTCAGTGAATCCTTTTCCTCTGGAAAATACCAAGATTGCTTACCTCTGGAATACACTGCTTTGGAATTCCACGGAGGCTGCAGTAGTATTGGAGATGTTCCCAGCCAGTCAGGAGTTCATCTAGGGCATCCTGCTGTGGACAGTAGCCAAAGAGAATGCCCACTTTGCCAGCAGAAGCGAGATCCACTGTATCTCTGCACACAAAAGTAGAACTGGCTGACAAAAGTCTTCATAATACCTGTGAAAAAGCCTCTTTCTTTTAACCCATCATTTGATCCTCCCTTTCTCCTGTCCTGTGGTGGTTTGAAAGAAAATGGTTCCCAAAGGAAGGTGCACTACCAAAAGGTGTGGCCTTGTTGGAGAAAGTATGTCACTGTGGGGAGGGGCTTTGAGGTCTCGTCTGCTGAAGCTTTGCTCAGTGTGACCCTTAGACTATTTCCTGCCACGTGCAGGTTATAGGAATCTCAGCTACTTCACCAGTTCCATATCTGCTCGCTGCTATAATGATAGTGGACTGAACCTCTGAAACTGTAAGCCACCTAAATTAACTGTTTTCCTTATAAGAGTTGCCATGATCATGGTATCTCTTCACAGCAATAGAAACTCTAAGACATCTTCCTTCCACATTTCCTTTCTCCATCTCTGTTTCTTTTTTGATATTTTTCTCTCTCTACATATAATTACATATAATAAATAAAAATGGGTGATTGTGATGTTTAATAAGAATTAATTTGACTGCATTAAAAATAATTAAAAATGGTCATGAGTTTGAAAATACGCAGTGATGAGCATTTTGGAGGGTTTTTCCATGCAGAAATGCTGTGATTACATTCTATTCACAAAAACAAGAAAGGAAAAATAATAATAAATAAATGAATTAAATAGTTAGGCATTGGGAAAGTGTTGCTTCTGAGTGTGTCAGTGAGAGTGTTTCCAGAAAATCCCTGGCTCAGGGAGGCACACTTAAAGCAGGAGGGAATCATCCCACCTGCTTGAGGGCGAGATGAAACAAAAAGGCAGAAAGCAAATTCACCTTCCTCTCTTTCTGTCCCTCTCTCCTCTCTCTCCTTCTGCTCCTTTCCTCCCTTTTCCCTCCCTCTTTTCTTCCCTCTTCCTCTCTCCTTGTCTCTCCCCCTTTCTTCTCCCATCCCATTCTTTCCTTCCCAGAGCTGGCATACTCTTTCCCTTCTATCCCTGGGCATGACAGGACTATGAGAACATTTTGGAATTAGAAGGCAGAAGTAGACCCAGCTGACCACTGGGTTTTCAAGTGAGAAACCCAACACCCATTTCTCTGGCTCTGATTTGAGGACTTTAACTCAACCATGTTACTGGCACCCCTGAGTCTCCACTTTATGAATGGCAAATGGCTTATTGTAGGACTTCTCAGGCTCCACAATCATATGAGCAACTTCCCATAAAGGAATACATCTAGACTCTCTTCCTTCCCCTCTTCCCTCCTTCCCTTCCTTTCCCTACCACATTTTGAAGTATTCTGACTGGTTCATTATTCTTACAAAAGACACCTGGGAGAACTCATAGTCCAGTTTTTCCTTCTACCATGGAAAAACAGAGCAATAAATCCTCATCTCTTAAGCAGGCAGTCTTCACCTGACCTATGTCTGATAGGATCTTCTTCATCCTGTAGTGTGCAATAATACTGTGTTTATTACAAAATCATTCTCATGACACATGTGTCCTTTACTCATTCTGGAATAGGAAATGAGACTGTCAATGAGGATGTCTTCTTGAATGTGTAGTCTGATTAAAAAAAACGAATACATTTTACATCATGACTCACCATGGGGTATTTTTTTCATGCAAAATACAAAGGTTGAATGTTCAACCATGTTTATAGCAGCATTATTTGTAATATCCAGAATCTGGAAGCAACCTAGATGCCCCTCAACTGAAGAATGGATGGAGAAAATATGGTACATTTACACAATGGAGTTATACTCAGCAGGGGAAAAAACAATGGAATCTTGAAATTCCAGGCAAATGCATGGAACTAGAAGAATCCATCCTGAGTGAGGTAATCCAGTCACAAAATGACAAAAATGGAATGTACTCACTCATATATGGATTTTAGACATAGAGCAAAGAAGTAGCAGCCTACAACCAGAGAAGCTAGGAAACAAGGAGGACCCAAAGAGAGAAGAGAGACATACATGGTCCCCTGGTGAAGGAGAAATGGACAAGATCTCCTAAGCTAATTGGGAATCTGGGAGGAGAGGAGAGGGAATTAGGAGAAAGAGAAGAGGAGAAGAGGAGGGGAGAGGAGGACATGAGGGAGCAGGAGGATTGAGTCAGGGTAAGAATAGAGAACAAGAAAAGAGATATCATAATAGAGGGAGCCTTATAGGTTTAAAGAAAAATCTGGCACTAGGGAAATGTCCAGAGATCTATAAGGATGACCCCAACTAACAATCTAAGCAATAGTGGAGAGGCTACCTTAAATGCCCTTCCCCATAATATTGATGACTACCTTATATGCCATCCTAAATCCTTCATCCTGTAGCTGATGGAAGCAGAAGCAGACACCCACAGCTAAACACTAAACTGAACCCTAGAACTCAGTTGCAGAGATGGAGGAGAGATAAGCAAAACGGTCAAGACCAGGCTGGAGAAACCCACAGAAACAACTGACCTAAACAAGGGGTTACTCATGGACCCCAAACTGATAGCAGGGAAACCAGCATAGGACTGTTCCAGAACCCCTGAATGAGGATGTCAGTTTGGAGGTCTGATTAATCTATAGGGCCTCTGGTAGTGGATCAGTATTTATTAATACTGTCCTAGTAAATTAATGGACTTTGGGAACACATTCCACATAGATGAATACTCTCTCAGCCTAGACACATGGGGGATAGTCTAGGCCCTGCTTCAAACGATGTGACAGAATTTTATGATCCCTCATGGAAAGCCTCACCTTCCCTAGTGAGCAGAAAGGGGATGGGATAGAGGTTGGTGGGGGGCAGGAGAGGAGGGGAGGGAACTAGGATTGACATGTAAATGAAGCTTGTTTCTAAGTTAAATAAAAAAGGAGGAAAAAAAGAATCCCTGTATATTTAGTTACTAACTCTGGAAACCTAACAAGGAGATAACGCAATACAATTTTCTATACATACCTTATATAATATATATAGATATAGATATAGATATAATTAGTATATTTATATATAAATATATATTCATATAATATATAAATGTATATTACATGTGTGTAAATAAAATTATATGTAATTAGATATCATATGTATATGTAATTATATATATGACTAATATGTATTACATATACATAGTTTGTATGTATGTATATATATATTTATAAAACTGTGTATGTGTGCTATCTGTAGTAGCAAGCATGTTATTTTAATTCATTGTTAGAGTTGAGGTCAATTGCAACACAATTCTTCACAGACCTTGAAAGAACAATTCTCAACTTTATATGGA